CGCAAGCACGCGCCTTGTCGGGAACCGTTCAGCAAAATGCGTCTCCACGCACCCGCGGCGCCGACCAGTGCCGCGCCTTTCTTTCGTTCACGCATGAGGTTCAGAATTTCCGTCAGGCGCGTGCCCTTAAAGCGGCTGGTGGCCTGGATCTCGATGCGCAGCGGCGCGTCGCCAAAGGATATCATGACCTGCTGGTGCTTGGCGGGCGGCTCTTCCTTTCGGCAGTCGGCGGCCGCCGCCTGCTGCAGGTTTGCAACGCCCCCCCCCGGCCCCGAGGAGGCCCGTGCGAAAAATGACCCCCCCCCCCCCCCCCTCCCCTCTTCCAATGTGGAATTCGAACAGAAACGAGGCCGGAGTCCAGCTGACCCCACCAGTGCTCTCGCACATATTCGCGCGTGTTTTTGGTTTTTCCTTGCGGCCTGTTTTTTGGAACGCGCGGTTAGCGCGGCTTTTGCGCGGCAGTCTCTCGCGCGTGTCTGCGCCAGGCTTGCACCGCCAGCGATGGCGTTGTAGCGAGCGGAGCTGAATCGTTGCGATTGCGCCCGCTTCGGGGCCGTTCGCGCGCGCTTCGTCATTCGCATTTTTCAAACTTTCCCGAGTGCGCTTCGCGCGCGCCGGCCCTGGCGCCGACGCTGCCATTTCCCGCGATGAACGCGCGGCGGCCCATAGACATTGCATCCCAATGTGTTGGAGGCCCACATCGAGCCAGACACGTCCATCTAAGTATGTGACCAAGGGGCTTCCATCATCACTATCGTATTCGTTCTCGCCAACAGTTCCCTCTTCTTCTTCTTCGCGTCGCGGGCATGTCCCCCCAGGTCCGCGCAGGCCCAATCCTTTGCCCCATCCCCCTGCCCGCGTCCTCTTTTTGTTTCCTTTTCTCAATCCTCATCTGCGACCCCTCCTCCATTCCTCTTCCGGTCTTCCGTTGTCTTCCCTTTTCGCCTCCCTCATCTTTCTTCCGCCTCTCTCCTCCTCCATATTTCCTTTGTCGCCTTCCTGCCTTCCCTTCGCGCCCTCCGCGCCGTTCCCCCCGCCCTTCGCTCCGGGCGGTCTCCCCCCCCTTCTGCGGCCGCGCCCCCCCATCGCGCTCCTCCTATTTTCCATCGCACCCCTCCTTCCTGCGAAGTCTCATGAGGCCGCGTTGGGGCCCTCGGGGAGGGCCCGCGGCTGGGCGGCGGCGGGGCCGCGGCGGGGCTGCGGCGGCGATTCGGTTAGGATTTTGCTGGCGGCAACTATTTTTGGGGGCGGCGGCCAGGCCGCGGCTGGGCGGCGGCGGGGCCGCTGCGGGGCCGCGGCGGCGACGCGGTTGGGATATTGCCCGGCGGCGGCCGGGATTCGGTCGGGATTGTTGCCGGGCGGGGGGGGCGCGGGCCGCCGAAGCGCGTCTGCAGCGAAGCATTGGCGCGCGACTTGCACGGGTCGGGGCACCTTCGGCTTGCTAATGCTCGCGCCAGGCGCCCTCGCATCGTAGCGGGCTGCGCGTGCTGCGTACTTCGCAGTCGAACTTCGTGTTTTTATATTATTGTTCATTTGCGCTTCGGCTTCGCAGTCATTTTGCATTGTGGCGGCATCGTCGTTCCGACATACTTTGTCTGCTTCGCAGTCGCGCTGCGCAGTGTGGCGGTATTCTTGCGTGGCGGCAGTTTCGCTTTGACGCGCGCGCGTGTTCTCTGCTTTGCAATCGCGCTGCGCTGCGCGGCGGTATTTTTGTTTCGACGGCCCCGACGCGCGGGCCTGTTTTTTTCCGCAGGCGCGCGCGTGTCTTCGGTTATTCCATTGCAGTGGCAACGCCATTGTTTGTCGCGCCCGGGGGGATGCGTTGCCCCCCCTTCGTTCGACGCGGCTGTCGCTTGCCGCGGTCGCCCGGTTGCGCGGCGCAGCGCACCGACGCAGTTGTTTTTCGCTTAGCCGCGCCACAGCGGGCGGCGAAGCGTCTCGCCCCCGCCATTCCGTTTAGTTCGTTCGCGGCGCGGCGTTCAGCGCCGCGCGTCAAGCTGCGCCCTGCGAGCGCGCATTATTGAGTTGGGCGCCGTCCAAGACCGCGCGGCCCTGCTCCTCCGCCACCCCCCATTTCCCTTTCCCTCCAACCGCGCCCCTTCCATCCCCGCTCGTTGTCCTTTCCCCCAGCTGCCTCGACGCTTCGCCGCCGCTGCGCCGCTGCCCTCCTCCGCGAGGCTGCCGTCTTCGGGGCCCTCTCTCGCTTCGGGCGGGCTGTCCCGCGGCGGGGCTGCGGCCGTGCGAGCGCCGTGTCACTCCTGGCTTTTCTCTCGGGGGGGGCCTTTCGACGCGCGCTCGCCTGGGCCGCCTCGCCGGGCCCCGTGGGTTCGCCTGCGGGGAATCACCCGGGTGGATAGCGATGAGGGGCGCGACCAACAGCGCAGGAGGGCTTCTGGCAATTCGTTTTCTGAAGATTGCACTGCTCGCGCCAGGCCTGGAAGTCGCGGCGCAGTAGCGCGTCGCAGAGTCTCGGCAGCGCCTCGTCAATTTCTTCGGCCACGAACATGTCGGCGCTTCCTGCGGCGCGGCGAATTGGCGGAGCACGCGCGCCCAGCCCCCCCGCTTTCGCGGGCCCTTGGCAGGCGCGGTGGAGTAGCGGAGTGCGCGGGTCCATCCGAGACTTCGCAGTTGTTTCGGGTGGTTGCGACTTGTGCAATTGTTGCCAATGTCGCTGCGCTTGGGGAGGCAGGGCGGAGTGCGCGGATGTAGCTGAGACGTCGAAGCTCCTTGGGAGATCGGGATTTGCGCTAATGTCCCCGCTGCCGTGGGTTCCAGGGGGACAAAGCGGAGGATTGGAGTGCGCGTGCACATCCGTTACCTCGTGGTCCACTGGGCGGAGTAGCGGAGTGCGCGGATCCGGTCAGGATTTCGCAGCCCCCTGAGTGCTTGCGATCTGCGCAAGTGTCGCAATGTTTGGTGGGTTCATGGGAGGCACGGCGGCGTAGCGGAATACGCGGTTGCAGCCGAAACCTCGCAGATAATATGAGGATTTTTTGTTGCGCAATGGTCGCCGATGTCATGGGCTCTTGGGAGGCACGGCGGAAAGGACGGAATGCGTGGATCCACCCGAGACCTCGCCAGTCTTTGGGGGACTTCAAATTGGTAAATTGTCGCCGCTTTCGTGGGCTGTTGGGAGGCACGGCGGCGTGGCGGAGTACGCGGATCCAGCCAGTACTTCGCAGTTCTTTTGCGGGTTGCGAATTGCACAGTTGTCGTCGCTGTCGTGGGTTCTTGGGAGGCATGACGGAGTAGAGGAGTATGTGGATCCAGTCGAGACTTCGCAGCTCCCTGGGAGGTTGCGAACCGCGCAGTTGCCCGTTGCGCCGGAAGCCCTTGGAAGCCACGACGGGGTAGAGGAGTTCACGGATCCAGCCGAGACTTTACAGATCCCTGGGGGATTTCGGATTGCGCAATGGTCGCCACTTGGAGGGCACGACGGAGTAGCGGAGTAAACGTATCCAGCCGAGATTTCGCAGCGCGTCGGGGGACGTCACATTGCGCAATTGTCCCCGCGGGCGCGGGCCTTTGGGAAGCAGAGGCACGGCGGAGTAGCCGAGTAGGCCCACCCAGCCGAGATTCTGTACTTCCCCGGAGGGCTGCGAATTACACAATATTCGCCACCTTCGTGGGCTCTTGGGAGGTCCACCAGAGTCGGGGACCACGCGCACCCATTGTAGACATCGCTGCTGATCGTGCGTATTTGGCGAACATGTTGTGCTGGGTCGCTCAGACAAAGATTCGCCTCGCGTGGAAAATGGGTCGGGTTCATTTCGGGTGAAGTGTTTGCCAGGCCCGCCCCGAGACGCTCCCCGACCCGCCCCGCGACCCACCCGCGGCCCCCCTCGAGGCCTACTTCCGACCCACCCGCGACCAGTACCGCGACCCACCGTCGACCCACCCACGACCCACCGTCCACCCGCCGCGCGATTCGCCCGCCGACTTGCTGAAGATCCATCCGCGACCTTCCCACAGTGAAACAAAAAAACTGTTTCCGTGGCGGGCTGTTCTGCATCGCCTTTGAAGAACACGATGGTTCGACCCTGCTTGCAAGACCCCCTCGCGGCCAGCCCTGACTATTTCGGAAAGCTGGCGTCAGCGGCGGGTTGCTCGGCGTGGGCTTTGGAAAACACCGTTGTGCGCCGCGGCTCTGGCGCCGCCTCATTCCTACCCGAAACTGCGGGGGAACAAATAAGGAGTCGCCCCCCATGTTCGTCACTTTTCTCATCACCCTCATCTTCGTTCCTCCTCCCTCCCCTCCTCTTTGTCCCTCCTCCCCCCGACCTGTGGCCTTCCCGCTCACCCTCGCACATCCTTCTTCCTGTGTCCATCCCATGTCCCTGCCCGGTTCGGGCAATAGTGGATCACAATATGGATGAGGATGGGGAAGGGGAGAAGCTGATCTCGGACTGGCTCGATTACTACCCACAGCGGGCAAAATAAGGGCGCACCAGGCGAAGGATGCGGAGCAGGGGGGGAATGAGGGGCCGGATGGGAGGCGGGGCCTCCCCCTCCTTCCTCGCCCCACAATTGGGGCGTCTACTGGGGTGTGTCTTGTTCCACCTCAATCCTCGGCTCTCCCTCTTCCCCACCTGGAGATGTCCGGGTGGGGAGGAGGTAGACTTCCTTTCTTGGGCGTTTTCTAGCTTCCAGGAAACATCCGTTCCAAGCGCCAGGCTGGGAGACGTACGACTCCCCCCCTCATGTGCGGCGAAGCACCGCTACGTGGCGCACTTGAGGAACTCGAGCAAACTTCTGTTTTCCGACTTGGCCCCGCGGGCCGCTCTGGCTGCTCCTGGCGGAAGCCTTCCACCTGTGCCCGCGGCCGCCCTGCCTTTCCTTTTCCTTCCTCCTGCATGCCGGCCAATTCGCTTTGTAGTGCCCTTGCATCGTTGCCACGCTGGAGCGGATCGTCCCGCCTCGCTGCCGACGGAAAAAAGCTTGCACCGTCTGAGGCGTGTTCCTGATGAGACCGCGGCCGCCCCCCTCCCCCCCCTGGGCAGCCCTGGCCGACGCGCCCCTGGTCGGCCACCCGTGGGCGGGCGAGCGCACGGAGAGCAACGTGGATTCCAGATGGCGCCCGCCGCGGGGCGCCCGACGACGACGGCGACGACGACGACGACGAAGACGAGGACAAATGACGACGAGGTCGACGCCGTCGACGACGACGACGATGACAGCGCGGGGGGGGTGGACGACGGCACCGACCGCCGACCACCGACGTCGGCGGTGACGACGGGGGTGGCGGCAGCTTTGCGGGCCTCTATGGAGGCTCCAGTCGCCACGGTTGGACGCGGCTCGAGAAATTGGGTCGAATGGACCCAGGGAGCGGCCCAGGGGGGACTGTTGAACGGGTGCTGACAGACGACGAGGGATTTCGAGCAAATCTTTTGGCGGCGACGGTGACAGCGCGGCGATGACGACGACCTCAGAAAGATTGAGGTGAGGATCGGTGCTTTCGACCATTGATTGTTCCTGTGCGTCTTCAGTTGGAAACACAGATGTGTGTATATATGTATATGCACTTAACCTCTGGAGGCTTCTGAGGACCTCCGATGATGTACCAACCGAGCTCTAAATTAACGACCGGGCATGATAGAAAGTTTGTTGGGAGACAGCTCTATGTTGAGATGAACACAAGTGTTGGACTATTTGGTTAGAGGGTCATGCGTGCTCAACAAGTCACGTATCTCGCCCAGTTTCCACAGACGATTGCGTAACCCTGGTTCACATGATGTGACACATGTTAACACTATGTTTGAAACACGGATGGACATCGTGCAAGCACGTTCACCGCGCCGTCAGCGTTTACCGCCATTGCGCCGTTAGCGTCGACCATCTTGGCATTCAAGTTTTGCCCTCAGAGCTGCGTCCTAGCTGGGGTGATGTTATTTGGTTCCGATCGATCGGTTGTTGTGGCGTTGCTGCGTTGCTGCACCATTCTAGGCTGCTTGCGGCATGTTAGTTTCATTTCGGCCGGTGTCGGTTTAGTTGTCGGTTCGGTCTGGTGTTCGGTAGTATCGGTTGCATGGACGACCTTGCAGTATGTGGGGTACCGTTGTTGCGCACCACGTTTTTATAATGGTCGTTTTCAAAATGTGCCCAGAACGTTCCGGGCTCGTGCCAGCGAAAATGTATGCATGCGGTGCTTGACGAAGGAGCTTGTTGTCCATGCGTCTTACACAATTAAGGGGAATTTGGGCGCGCTCCAGGCACTGAACATGTCTTTGTTTTTGGGCCGCCCTGCCTGTCAAGAAGGAACACACCAGCCGCCGCGCCCCTTGGGTGATGTCAGAGGTGTGCCCCCCCCTCCAAAGTCGACCACTCGACCTCTCGGGGGCGCGCCACCAAAAACCTAGAACTGCCCGTAAACCTCTGATTCTTGAAAGCGGAACCTCGGTCTTCCGCCGCCTTCTCCTTCTCGTCCTCTTCGTCCTCCCTCGTCCTCCTTCGTCCCCTGCCCTCCCCTCCTCGTCTTCCCCCCCTCCTCGTCCTCCTCCCCTCCTCGTTTTCCCCCTCCCCTCGTCCTCCTCCTCCCCTGCCTTCCCCTCCTCGAATCTCGAGCCTCGAACCGCGATGAGCCTTCGGCATGTGCGCGTCTCGCCCGCAGGAGCCGCGATCCGGTGGCCAGGCCGGCGAAGCCCGCGCTGCGGGGGTACGCGGCGGCCAAGCCCGAGGCATCGGCGACGCGAGGGAGGGAGCGTCGTCTCACGTATCCCCCCCCTCTCGCTCTTTTCTTCTAGGAGGAAGACAGAGACACAAGTATTCTTCGATCCCCAGGAACATGTCAAAATATGGGAGGTGGCGGGGAAGACGAGCGTCCTGACAACATTGAACATATCAGGGGTCTTGGGATTTGTGTATACTTATTTGTGTGTTGTCTCTGGGCCCCTTCAACGTATCCCCCCCTCTCTCCATCTTTCTTCTCGCCCCTCTCCCTCGCCCCCGCTCCCCCCTCTCCCTCTCTGACCCTCTCCCCATCTCCTCTGCTCTCCCCCTCTCTCCCCCTCTCCCTCCAGATCGGCTATGCACGCGTCCGCGGGTAAAGCAAAATCAGCGCCATGTGAAAGGATGGGAGGGAGGGATCGGATGTCAGATGAGGCGCGGGCGCACCTAAATTGCTTGTCCTCCCCCCTCTCTCCTCTCCCCGTTTTCCTTTCTCCCACTCTGCACGGACTGGGCTATTCGAGGCCTCTCTGGTGGGGTCTTGGTAGATGGGGTCGGAGGGTCTTTTCGAATGATGCGGCGCGATCGCGCCGCATTTCCGATGTATCGGCGATGCGGCTCGACGTGGAGCCCGAGTCTCTCCACGCCGAAGTCGCCGATGCATCGCCGACATCGCCAGTGCATCCCCGATGCATGGCGAAGCGGCGCGATCCAACGACCCCATCTACTCCGACCGCATATAGGCGGTCTCTAGCCATGGTATCTGAGCCCTACCAGCCCACCCTTAATAATTGGGGATATGCTGCGCAAAACCCGAAGCAACAGTCATATGATCCTTGCGGGTCCAGGGTTCACAGGCCCCCCCCAGCAGGGTTCCACAGGCCCCCCCCAGATGGGATGCGACCAGATGTTACTGTGGCCCTAGTGTGGCCCGTTGGGTGTTAGTGTGGCCCGTCGCGCGGCCAGATGAGAGTTGTTCTGGCCCG